TTCCTACACAAAAAGGTTTCCTTTGGGCAAATGAGTTGCGAACGTTTCGATGAAGTTGTCCCCTTAGATACACAGTTATACAAGTTTCAGGATACGGTTCCATTGTAGAATACTCGTAGACCAACTTCACTATTAAAACATTAACTTCTTCAGCATGGCACCTAGTCTATGTAATAGGCCATGGCTATAGCAACCGCAGAGGCAACCGCATCTTGACCGCTAGAATTGGTCTATTGGGCTGCTGTTATATTACAAATCACTGCATTCGAATTGACCAATCACACGTTTAGTCCTGATTTGGGAATGAAATGACGGCACGATTTAGTAAAGTCGACTCCGCTTGGCTGAGGCACGAGATCGCTTAAATCTGCATGCTTTGACATATCAGACGTTATACAGGAGACTTGGCTCCGTGGATAACGGGTGATACTCAGAATACATGGCACCCCGGTTCATTGGTAAAAAGGTTTTTTTTTTAATATTTAAAAAAAACACTCAAAAAAGTCAAGAGACGGGCAGCGAGGTTCATCACAGGAAACTACAGGAAAAAGGAAAGTGTCGCATGCATGATAACCAACTCAGATGGTCCTCCGTAGAGGAAGTGAGACAACCCATCAACACAGATGACTACTGCAAACAAACCAAAGCCGGGAAATTATCGGGAAATTTGAGATGATTGGAGTGAGACGGACCCTAGAACGTTCACCATATGTTTTCAGTACAGATTTGAGAAACTAGTCATTGTTTGATACTGGTTTTTATTAGTATTGGTATAAAAGATTCATTCATGCATGCGCACTTTTCCTTTCAAGGGAATTTTTTTCTGTGTGTGTAAGTCCCCCTTTGTAGGAAAATTTCACCCGTAGCTTTTAAGGTTGGAATATATCATGTAGTATTGAAGTACCGTGACCTCGTGGTCTGGAGCATTGCATTCGTGGTCTGCGGGCAATTCTGCAGGTTGTGGGTTCGAGTTCAGCCTGGGGTCATGGTGCGTGTGTCCTTGGGCAAGGCACTTTGTCACCCATTGCTTCTCTCTACCCAGGAGTAAATGGGAACATGACTGTGAGGGCAGAGATGGTAATTGTGATCGATTCTAGCTTCCTTGCGCCTACTCAGGCAGCATCCAGCTGTATACTCCCCAGGGAGCTGGGATGGTATTTGGAATGTTTAATTGGCCCAATGATCAGGGGTAATAATAATATAGAGCGCTCTAATCATAGTTAAAAGCGTTATATATAAAACCCCGTCATTTTTGTGAGTATTAAGTAATTACTTGATTTCGTTGTTGTGTTGCCAGTTTGCAGACGTCATCACCCGGGCACTAGACGAACATTTCCCCGCCAGCAGTGGCGTGCGAATTATTGCCGAACCGGGAACATTTCACACTCGTTCAGCAGGATACCTAGTGGCGAATGTCATTGCCAAACGTGTGAACAAAGTTGACATCAATGAACGGCGTGAAAGAGTATCAGGTAAGCTGGCCTCGAGTCCATTGGTACACATTGTACTATTTTTGAGAGCTATCGTTTAGCTGTCGTCTTGTCTATCATTCTGTAAGTTGTTTCCGTGGTAACTTCTGTTATTCTAGTCCTCCATACCCCCAAACGTTACTGTCCGTGCACCACTTTTGCTGTATCGCGTAGAAAGAAAGCACATAGTGATGACGTTACTCAGACGTGAAAACGGTAAGGATACCTGAAACAGCTAAAAACTCCCTTATATAACAACAATTAATGCTTGTGAACGCTTGGACAAGAAACACTTGGCATTCTTCGGAGCTGCTATATATATATTTTTTAATTTACCTATCACCATATTACATCTGCCAACAAACTATCATTTCATATTCATCATTCATCTACGGTTTTGGAAAGCTGGCAGTTCTGGAAAGACAAGAAGATTCAGAAGATTCCTAAATATTTGTTTTGTCTTTATTTCAGATGGCGATGAACCGTTCATTTGGATATACTACTTGAATGTTGGTATTTTCAATGGATTGAGTTGCAAAGTGTTCGACCCCGAATTTTTCGACCTTCCAGAACCCTTACACGTAATGTATAATCATAACATTAGAAACGGGTTTGATGTGATTTATGCATGTGAATTTCAGCAATAGTTGTTCAAAAACACTTTAGGCGCATGCCCCAAGTTCACGTCCCCTTCCAAATTCACTATGGCTACGTGCATTTTTAAAAGATGTAAAACTGACATTTGCAATATCTGTCAATCTGTTCAAGCCTCACGAATACTAGGCGGGCTAATTTTGGGCAGTATAATATCAGACGCCTGCAGGGAATCAATCCATGACATGTAATTTGAGTTACCCGGCCCTCAAAGTCCACCATTCACCCCAGATTAACCCCTGGTATCCCTCAGGCCCTAAACAGTCAATAAAACCAGACACTAACCTCCCCAATGCCAATTGACAGTTCCATTTTGGTCACAAGGGTGATCGAGGTAATTATCCCTATGTGAACAATGCATTTGTACACAAGCCTATGTAAATGCGCACAAGCACACTAGGTTTTCCCGCCAATTTCCAACCCCTCCAGTAGGATCACAAGACTGACACCCCCTCTGGTGGATGTACCATGGTCCATACTAGGATCTGGTGATAGATGACCTGGGCATGGCTACCACGTGGCTGGGACAATAAAAAACAAAGAAATGTGGAAGCGATTTTATTCACACTGACTCCGAGTAAGGTTTTTAATAAGGGTCCTATCCATTATGGTGTGCAGTAAAAAAAAATTGAGAAAAGCCTCCTTCACGAGTTATTAATTGATAAATATCACCCTTTGTGCCGGCTTTCATTGGTCGATATCGAGACCCACAGCAAAACAGGCTGAGTGACGCTAATGAATTTCGCTCGTACCCCCCGCCCTGCAAACAGGACGCTGGGGGTACGCTGATGAGCTTCACAGAATCTTGTGAAGAAAGTGGCCTATGACCTTTGTATAAAGCATCTGGCTGCAGATGTTCAAGACCGCAGTTAGACAATGTGAGCAAATGCTATCCGAAAACTTCCCATAGAAATGCACACGTTTCATACCGGATGTGATTTCTGTTTCATTGCGGGCCATGTGGACAAAAGTTTGAGCGTCGCATAATGCAATCCGACCGTTCGTGATTCGAAACGGAGCCTGAGCAACTGTGACGGGAATTGTAAATTTACATCAAATATAAACTTTACAGAATTTCCTACATTATTACGCTTTTCAAAAAAAATAAAAAATCTCTTAACTGGAATAAAAGAGTAATGAAAGTTCGTCTTAACGGCCGTCCGTTTCAAACCTTGCAGAATCATGACCGTGATGATGCGCAGGTTACAGGTCACGCAAATTCCAACTAATCAGAGTGTGAATTCATCAGAGTATCCCAGCGTCCTGTTGAGCGAACTAATGAATTTGCTAATCTACAATACGTCATTGTGTGGCTTGGCCGGAATCGGTCAACCGTAGCGCCTAAGGCGCTTTACTGAATAATGCATGTGGGTTGGGACGGCAGAAATCATCGTCGAAATTTGCCATGGAGATGGTTCAAAGTGTAACACTAGCGTTTGCAACAACATATTTAGCTGAAATTCGGTATATATACTTAGTTAATATAAGTGTTCAACTACTCGTGAAATAATAATTTTGAGAAATTTCTAGAAATTGATATAAATAGAGAGATTTGGGGAAGTTTCCCAACGATTTCTTCCAGACTTGAAGGTCAGCTATACCAGTAACTAGTACTGACGTTTCGTCATCGATCACGGCGATTTTTTGACATGAAGTTTAGAATTTCTTCTTCCGTTATAATTTAACATTTCAATCATACTGTGCATATTTTCTGAGATACACAACGTTCAAAAGGCCATGTTTTTTTGTGGTGTATGAATTTCACTGCTCTGCTATGGCGTCTAAGTACGTAATCGGATTAGCTTTGCTTAACAACGGCAGCCGCTTTGCCTTAGCAACCACATGACTGCTAGGCACCAGTGTTCCGTAGGCCCTTCTCTGCCCTAGTCAACGGCACCAAATTCAGCGTACAAAGCACTGTACAAACTGGTATATGTCCTAGCTGTAAAAGCCTGTTGGCATCACCAAGGGCGTCAATCGATTCTCAAAAGTGGGGGAGGGGGCGGGAGGGGGGTACAAACGTGTATCCTGATGATAAGTACTTCGAGGTCGAAGCCTAAACGGCGTGGGGTTAGATGAGCCAAGGTGTTGGCCTTTATTTATTCACATCATAATTATAAGTAATATCGGCCCGCATTATTTTCATTTGCACGACGAAACTGGGCCAATGCCACCAAAACAGGCTCCAAAAGCAATGAAAACTAGCCTTAATTAAAGGAGAAAAATATTTAAGGTTGAAAATGATGTAAAATATCTGCTTTATCAAAATTTAGAAACTTCAAAACCTACAAATTCTGAAAAACACATTTTCGAAACCAGAAATGCATTTGTTGCCATGATAATTAAGGGGCCACCTTTATTTCTGGCTGGTCTTCAACACTTCCAGCCTAGCCAGTGTTTTATCAACCGTTTAAGACCCGCCACCTGACGGGCTTTCGACCAATAGGAATGGGTAAAATATCTTTATAAATAGCCTATAATGGGAAGACCACAACTATTATTAATGTTCGTAGGGCCTACTTGCATAAGTCCCGGCTTCGTTCCGAATTCGTCTAAGTCGCTGCTGCGACCGTTTCTAATCCTTTCATGTTCTATCAAACAAAAAGACTCCAAAATGTTGTTTCGTATTCAGAGGATTTCGCAGCAGAAAATGGACCGACAAAGTGATCAATATTCTCTCAAGGCAAGGGACCCAATGACGTTAAAGCTCGTTGCCGGAACGAAGCCCGTGGTTGAGAAATGGGGGGGAAGAGGCAAAAGTCAACAGCAATATAACCACAAGTTGGTGCAACGAGTATTGGTCTCGCCGAAGTTGTTTCGACCTCTCAGATTTCATATATGACTTTTTCTTCATTGTTACGTAATCAAAACACAGGAACCACTTAGAAACCGCGATTTGAAGCCATCTACAATTTTCGGGCCAACTTGTGATTCTAATGACGTCATCATGGCTAACTGTATGTTGCCTGAGTTGGACACTGGAGAGTTTGTCTTGTTCCATGGTGAGTATACGTCTTTCTTTAAAAAAAAATGGGAATAATTATGTTCTATAAAGTGTATAATGTTTACGTTAGGCCTATCGCCAAAGATGGCCAATTATTCTGATCACTCATTGGATGTATCCTGCATGCATTATGAGACGTACGCACTTAATCTCTGCCATTGACGTAAATTTTTTATGACAAAATTAGTGATCCGCATTGGCGTATACAATGCTTGCGACACCTTAAAACTGGTGTGTAAATATATACGAGATTTTTTTAAATATTCTAAAACCTATAACACATTAATGTGCTTGTTTGCGTCAGTTTTAAATGGCGCGCCCCAGTTCAGAAAGTTTTCAGCGAATATTCATATCTATAGTGACGTATCAGCTCATTTATGTTAATTTTGGAATCACGCGAAAAAATATTCGCCTGTTCCGATCGCGGCCGGTTCACCCACAACTGCATATAAATCTTTTACCAATGGGGCACACCGTACAGGGGCTTACTAAACGCTCGAAGTTACTTTCAATACGCCAAACCATGTGATTATGAAACTCGAGAATGGGCGTCGCCAGGTTTTTTTTCTTGAGGGGGGCAAACACTCACCAGAGCGAAGTGACCGGCCGTGGAAAAATCAGAGTGTGCAGATATTTCTCTTCGACGCTTTGTAAGAAAAACGTCCATGTTGTAAAATATACATTAAATTAATAATAATATGCTTCGCCCCTCGTTTTCTTTTTTCCCCTCTTTCTCCTTTCCTCTCCCTTTTCTCTTTTTGTCCTTTTGGCTTTTCCAGCCCCGCCCCCTCACTGCGCCCTTGAACTCAAGGCATTCTTTACGAGTAAATTGTCAACCCAAGAATGTTTTACACAAACAGTAGTAACTATGATAACCTAAGGAACGCCTATTAACGTAAGTTATCAATCGACTACACCTGTAGGATGGGGCCAAATAAGAAACAGCTAACTTACCAGTATACATAAATTCAAAACAGTAAATTCTGGTTAGTACCGTTTTGAATTTATTTCTAATGCAGCTACATAATATTGGATGATTAGATTACTAGTTTTGATCCGAAACATTTTGTCCAATTTTGTGTTATTTTTTTCTGTCATCAGATATGGGAGGCTATACCGCTACGTGTGCATGCGATTTTAACGGTTTCAGCCTGCCGCCAACGTGGTACATTGCACCCAAAGAGATCCGGTAAACTATACAAATCGATCTTTTCATTCAAGGAAAGTACTTTAGACTAGAATTGATTTGTTACGGAGATGCTGCATACAACCTTTGCATGTCCTATTCCCGGCATTTCTGCAATGAAAATAGGGTAGGAGCCCCCCCCCCCTAAAATATAGGCTCTAGAACTACGCCTGTGCAAGGTACATTTTGTTCTTTTCCATTGACAACAGGAACACGACATGTCGCTGTGATGACTTCTCGCACATAAGCTCTGTTCTCACCAAACAAATCCCGGCGAACGACACTATGCCCTCAGCGGCGTAGCCAAGGGGGGGGGGGGGGGGGGGACGTGTCCCCATAAAAAAGATCGTCGCCCACCCCCAGTCGCCGCTTGGAAATGTATTATATAACTGACCACCAACGGGTTGAACCGAAATTGGGCGCCCCCACCCCCACACTGTAACATTCAGCCCCTTCCCACACACACACATACTGTATTTGCCTGTAATCGGGGATCTTCCATTGTCCCTCTTTTGTTTGTTCACCAACTTTTTAGGAAGACCTCCCATATGTTTTGTACATGAATCCAAATTGGGGACCTCTCGGGAATTGGGGACCCTATTGTCCTCTATTGTTCAACGTCCCCTATTGAATGCAGAAACAAACTCACACACACTCACCCATGTTTACGTTATACATGCCTGGTGTGGACATTCTTGTGATTTCGCGTAGTTAAGAAAAACCTGGGGAAAAAAATCATTTTACTTACATTGTGAAAACTCTTTCAACCCCAATTTTTTTCTAAGATTCCCTTTAGTGTTTCTCTTCATTTTGCCACGGATAAACCTAACCCCAAAATGCCTCTAAACCTGTTTTCCAGAGAGGGGAAAACATTGTGTGGATGTGGGAAAGTCCACACAACATTTCTTTGTTCTCGTGCTGCTACTTGCTGGTTTATGTGGACATCTTTTGTTCGGAAGTCCACACAGTGAATGTAATGCTTGTACATTGTGTAACAGTAGGCCTTGTTATTAAGTCTTCGGTAGCGTTTATTGGTCCACTGATATGTTTGGAAACATGTATAACTACTCTGATGTTGCGATGTTGACGTCGTGGTTGGCAACAAAGTGCCCTCCACGGGTTGGCAAGAAAAGTCTGTTTAGTGTGGGCGATAGAGAACGCACTTCAGCATATAACTTAATGGCGCTGAAGTGCCAATCAAAATCGGCGCTCTTAAAGTTGTCCAGTGAATGTACAAATTTGCTCCTTTCAACTTTTTATCATTCATAATCAAAGCTTTACCGTCTGTGCTTGCCAACAAATTATAACATCAATTTGTATAATTATTTCATTTAAACAAAAAAACAAAACTGTTTTGATTTCTATCGTCCGCAACTTGCAAAATGCAATTGAAATTTGTATTACACCTTTGTGTAAACATGGGTGGATTTTCCTTTGATGTTTCGATCAAAAGTGAATAACGTTTGAATGAGGGAATAACAACTTTAGCATTAATATTATTTGCTCGATATCTTATTTGCAGACTCGTTCTGGAGAAGACTTTTCCAGCACAATATACTTTTGGTTTAGGCTTAAGCCAGAAGTCAGTTCCCGAGTGAAAGTCTGACGTTGCAATAGGGTGTGCAACCAATACCCAGCTTTTCGTCATGATGGATGTTCATGGTCGGGGCAGTATATTGTTGATGTACCCTAACGTGGCACGGCCCCTATAACGTGGCACACTTTGATTTTTTGCCTGTAGCGCCTAGCTAGAGTAAAAGGTTTAACTGAAATTTCACAGAAAGTGCAATTTCATCAAGTTCTAAACACTCCCGTTGATAAATCACGAGTTTATCTACCTGTTACAAAGTTAGAAGAACAATTTAGTTCGGCGTGATTTTCCGATTTATTTCAAAGTGAACAGTAAACCCATTGAAATGCCCCCCAAAAATAAGAAAATAATTTTCTGACAAACATTTAGTTGGCTAAGTAAGTAGAGATAAAAAATGGTCATCAGAATTTATCAACTTTACAAAAATTCTTAATGTATCTCAAAAATTCGAGATGTATTCAAGTGCGCCACGTTGGGGAACACTCAGACGATTTTGTGCCCAATTTCCGGACACCACCGGTTTTTTTAAATTTCGGATTAAATTTCGTGACACCGAAATTGTTCACAAAGGTGAAACAGCAAGCCTTATTAAGGCTCTTTTCAACGCACAATTTTTGCTATTGGTTTTTACTAGTTATTCGGTTAAATTCTTGTTCTGAGTTTTGTTGTATACAATTTTTTTTTTCAGTCAATAAATTCTTTTTGATTTTTTTTCGGCAACTTAGAATTAATCCCATGTAGTATTAATTCAATTCCTTGCGACTTTTACTTCCCTTAAGAAACTGAGATAAGTTAAGTTTGGTTAGTTGTTGGTAGACCTTGGCAATGTTACTGTTCAGAGCGATCATGCGAAAGTTGGGCGGCAGCGATGGGTCTCCTTTCTTGTATACAGGGTGGTTAAAAAAAAAGGACACCCACATTAGACAGCAATTTTCTCCTATTTTTAAACATTATTTTTAACTGTCGATTAGTAGCTATTAAAGTACTGGCCTTTAAGCAAATGTGACGAAAAAAATCGTTGCATTTGCACATTGTTTCGTTGAGCTATGCTAATTTGAACATTTCATGTGCGAAACCTGTTTGTCCACGGAGGTATACATTCCCTTCGCTTGACTGAGCTCAGCTATCGGAGCTTTATTTAAAGGAGCATGACATTTGATTGTTATGTTATGTTATGTTATGTTATGCAACAATGAACTTAACGCACAGCTCATTGAGTAGATGATCTTAACAGTGACATGAATAATTGGACAGCTTCAATAAAAGTTACCAGGGCAAAATATATTTTGGTGGGAAGTTTTTAATTTTCATGAACTACGAAAACGTCCAATTTACAAAGAATAACCCGTGGACAGGACTGATTTTTGGTGACCTGTATTCAAATTAGCATATCTCTATTTTTGCGACTATTACTAAGCTTTTTTCACCATGCATGGTTAAAGGCCTATAATTGACTATGTTGTGAAAAAAATTTTTAAATAACTTCATTAAGTTGGTGAAAATTGCTGTCAAAAGTGGGTGTCCTTTTTTTAACCACCCTGTGGAAGACTTACTTGGCAGCAGGAGCGGGACATCGGTGGAGTTCCACTTTGCAAAATTTTGGTGAAGAGTGTGGCAAGTAGGCCCTAGATGGTGTGTTGCTTGCAACTTCATTCTTGACAATATGGCGGGGCCAAATATTAATTGTATTTACCACGTTGTTTTCTGTGTTAAGTAAAGGAGAAGTTCTACCGGATGAATTTATCATGGAAGTTTAGTTAGGCCTATGCCCTTCACTTGTTTTTAGTAGCGTGTCTCCCTGTTTCCAATAGTCAGACCTCTTAGAAATGACACCCATGTGCCCTGCGTTGTTAAGGAACCATATGCGTTGCCCAATCTTGACCTCAGTCAACTTAAACCAGACCAGCAGAGATGAGAGTACAATGTGCATACACTAGACGCCATGCTAATTAATTAGAGTGGTGTGTCGATCCTGTTCGGATTCTAACACCATCAAGTAATTGATTTTTAGCCAGATTGTACTTTAAGATAAATCATTTTACACTACTTTTTGGTCTTTTCTGGTGAGTTTTTAACATACTGTTTTTGCTATTGGTTTTAGTTTTTTTCGGTTTAAGTCTTGTTTCAGTTTTGCTGTAGGTTTTTTCAGTCAATAAAGTCTTTTTGATTCTGGTTTGGCAACTACGAATGACTTTCATGTCTCTATTCATTCAATTCCTTGTGACTCCTCCCTTAAACAAATCAGAGATTAGTAAAGTTCGGTTAGTTATCCTGATAGAGAGTTTCTTTTGGGCGTGTTCCCCCAGTTTCCAGAACACACAAGCATCACGGAAAAATTGTGGTTGTAGCAACCATTCTCAAGAGAATAAAGTGATCAAGGGCGTATCCAGAACAAAATTTGGGTGGGGGCCAGAAGTAATTTTCGTCCCTCAAAAAGTGGGTCAAAAAATTATGGCGTGGGGTGCGGGCCCGCTTAAGGGCCCGAATTTTGTTTTGATTCTAGATGCTCTGTGGTGCGAAATATATTTTGGTGGGAAGGTTTTTAATTGTTATGAACTACGAAAACGTCCAATTTACAAATAATAACCCGTGGACAAGACTGATTTTTGGTGACCTGTATTCAAATTAGCATATCTCTATTTTTGCGACTATTACTAAGCTTTTTTCACCATGCATGGTTAAAGGCCTATAATTTACTACGTTGTGAAAAAAATATTTAAAATAACTTCATTAAGTTGGTGAAAATTGCTGTCAAAAGTGGGTGTCCTTTTTTTTAACCACCCTGTTGAAGACTTACTTGGCAGCAGGAGCGGGATATCGGTGGAGTTCCACTTTGCAATATTTTGGTGAACAGTGTGGCCAGTAGGGCCTAGATGGTGTGTTGCTGGCAACTTCATTCCTGACAGTGTGGCGGGGCCAAATATTAATTGTAATTACCACGTGGTTTTCTGTGTTAAGTAAAGGAGAAGTTCTACCGGATGAATTTATCATGGGAGGTTAGTTAGGCATATGCCCTTCACTTGTTTTTAGTAGCGTGTCTCCCTGTTTCCAGTAGTCAGACCTCTTAGAAATGACACCCATGTGCCCTGCGTTGATAAGGAACCATATGCGTTGCCCAATCTTGACCTCAGTCAAAACCAGACCAGCAGAGATGAGAGTACAATGTGCATGTGCCCCTTACACTAGACGCCATGCTAATTAATTAGAGTGGTGTGTCGATCCTGTTCGGGTTCTAACACCATCAAGTATTAGATTTTTAGCCAGATTGTACTTTAAGATAAATCATTTTACACTGCTTTTTGGTCTTTTCTGGTGATTTTTTAACATACTGTTTTTGCTTTTAGTTTTAGTTTTTTCGGTTTAAGTCTTGTTTCAGTTTTGCTGTAGGTTTTTTCAGTCAATAAAGTCTTTTTGATTCTGGTTTGGCAACTAAGAATGACTTTCATGTCTCTATTCATTCAATTCCTTGTGACTCCTCCCTTAAACAAATCAGAGATTAGTAAAGTTCGGTTAGTTATCCCGATAGAGAGTTTCTTTTGGGCGTGTTCCCCCAGTTTCCAGAACACACAAGCATCACGGAAAAATTGTGGTTGTAGCAACCATTCTCAAGAGAATAAAGTGATCAAGGGCGTATCCAGAACAAAATTTGGGTGGGGGCCAGAAGTAATTTTCGTCCCTCAAAAAGTGGGTCAAAAAATTATGGCGTGGGGTGCGGGCCCGCTTAAGGGCCCGAATTTTGTTTTGATTCTAGATGCTCTGTGGTGCGATCTGAGGCAATTTCCAACCACAATTTCTGAACATTTTTTTTTGAGGAAATGATGGTGGTGTACGCAGTACCTGCCTTTATTGCGACGTCACTTCAAAACAAAATTTGGGTTCTTTTTTGGGGGGGAGGGGGGGCACGGCCCCCGTTGGCCGCCCCCCCCCCCCCCCCCCGGAACCGCCCTTGAAAATGGTATTATTACATCACTTCTCGTGATGTTAAAAATGACATTTTGTAATAGTGAAAGTACCGTGTAATATTTCACAGTAAAAGAGTTAAGAAATGCAAAAGAGTATCACCCGTAATAGAATAAAATATAAACCAATAATATGCAAAAAATAGAAACTGATCCAAAATGAAGCTTTAGCCGCCATGAATGACATACGGTACGTTAAAGTGCTATATAGTTGGATATGTTTGTAACCTGTGAAATCTCAAACCTTGAATTGACGAGTTGGCGTTAAACAGTAGAGAAGTCCCGTTGTATCCTTAGCATGATGGGACGTATTTCTATTGAAATGCCCCAGAAGATTACCGCGCGACCAGAAATACATGTATATCGGTATCCGTGAAACTGAATAGGGCGAGATAGCTCAGGTGGTAGAGCAGGCCGGAACGACAATCCGAGGATCGCAAAACCTGCTTCAGTCAATTTCCTTTGTTCCTTTTATAATTTTTTTTATTTCCCTTAGTCAGTTTCCCTTTGTGGTTTCTTTGAAAAATAATTATTTTATACATTCATAAACATTATGTTTACCCCTGCTCAGTCACCTCGCCCCTGCATATTACATCCCATCCCAGCTGAGGAGATTATGCAGTATCCCACCAGAACCAACACCAGAACCATGACAAAGTTAAATACCGCCACCTGTTGGCCATCATATAAATGGGCTAACTCCCGACGAAGTAGACTGGTAACCCTACCTCAGCATCTGGGGACTGATATTTAAGTCTGGTACCTTTTTACAACGTACAATGTCAAAATGCACACGAGAAAGTGTTCGCACAACAATCTCGACAATGGCGACGAGCGAGAATGATCGCCTGAGATCTTCTGTCAGCAGTCACGGCAGTATGGATGGATCGGGTATAAAACAAGAACCTTTTCGTTCCAAAGCGATTCTACCGTGGGATAGACTGTCCAACTGGCTTCATTGTGTCTGCGTTGTTACGTTTGATTTGGAGTTAGGGCAAGCTTTGGAGGTAGGATCTATAGCTCTACTGAGCATGCTGAGTTACTCCTAGAACTTAGACCCGTGAA